CCTAGGTTCACATCTAAGCATTTTCTGCAGCGTTTTGCAGAAACGCAGTACAGGCCATTTAACATGATTTCTTATGGGACAGGTTTACATCTCTGCATTTTCACCTGGTGCGTTTTTTGGAAAGGGTCAGGGACTTTTTTCACGTAAAATGCGTTTTTGGTTCTATAGACCTGTGTTTTTTCAGCGCTTTTGATGCATTTTTGATGCGTTTTGCATTTAAAATCTGCCTAGCAACAAGAAAAATAAAAAAAATGGAAAAAACCTCCTGCAAGACACATCAAAAACGCGGCAAAAACGCAAGTGCAAAAACACAAAACACAACGCAAAATGCAATGCAGAAACGCATCAAACTCAACCTGCATAGGTGTGTACCTAGAACCTAATGGAGATTAGGCTCTAAGTGAGTTTAATTAACACCATAATCAGCCACAGAACCTGTGTAAATAATATGTGTTCGGTTCTAAAGGGATGAGGTGGCAACCCTACTTTAATTCTTTAATTGCAGGTTTTAAGAAAGTCTGTATTTGACTGGAACATGTTGAATTGAATTCTTACAGCTGCTACTATAATAGTTTTGGTCATTCCACAGGTTCATATTTTAAGTCTGCACTTAAAAAAAGTAATTCCATTTCTCTTTAAAGCCCCATACACACAAGCCAAATATTGACCACAATCAGCCAGTACAATGGAAACCGGCCGACATTCGGTCCGTGTGTACAGGTCCTTGTCTGACAGAAGCTGATCTCATGACCTGCTTTTGTTGAGCGAGCATGCTGGAAAACCAGCAGCTGATTGGCATCTAATCAGCGCTCTCAGCTAATGGCTGTGAGCGTTGACTGACTGGTGTGCTCAGGCCACGGGGGGTAGTCCCGCTGTCACAACATTATAGCTCAGTGTACTAACATCGCAGATTTAGGTCCCTTTCACGCGGGCGTTCCATATGTCCGTTTTTCATCTGTTCATTTACGGATGAAATACAGACACCCATGTATTTCTATGGACTAGAAAACCTAAACAGATGATCATCTGTTTACATCTGTTAATGTCCACATCTGTTAACCGCTTCCCGACCGCCCTATAGCAGAAATACTGCTACAGGGCGGCATGGGTGCACAAAATCACACATATATATATATATATATATATATATATATATATATATATATACATGAGTTTATGCATTTCCATTCGCGGCTGTGGCTGTCAATCATCTGATCCAGGCCGGTGATTATTCGCCGACGCCCGGTGATTGCCTAGCATCTACAACCAGGAGGAGAACTGTTTGTAAACAAAACAGTTCTCCTCCCTTTCAGCTCCTGCACACTGCTTTGGATGGCTGTGCAGAGCACAGGCATGCAAAGCAGTGTGCTTACAGTGAAGCACAGGGACACAGCACTTAGTAAAACAACACACAGTAAAGCCTTTGATCGCCCGTCATGTTAACCCCTTCCTGCCCAGTGCCATTAATACAGTGTCAGTGCTTTTTTTTAGCACTGATCACTGTATTGGTGTCACTGGGGATGTCAGCAGTAATCATTGTGTTCTTCCGGCAGGGAAGGCTCCCCACCACCATAACACAATACCGCTGCAGGAGGGATTCCCCCATCAACACTGACTGTGAATCGAACGATTAGGAAAATTGCATAATTTATAGCTTGCTTTAGTGTATAACTCTTCTCCCCACTGCTACGAGGTCCTCCCTACAGCAGTGAACTTCTGGCTCTGCAAGCGTCAACATCAGCTGCTGAGCTGAGCTGAGCCTTCCTCCTGCCTCCTCCATTCATATAACTTGTAGTATTCTTTTCCAGAACGCAAAGCATTCTGGAAATGGAGAACTGACAGATGAATGGCATGATCCACCTCCTCCAATCACAGAACTCCTTGCATTTTGAGAAAGAATGCTACTAGTTACATGAATGGAGGAGTTGGTAGAAGGGGCAGGAGAGTGACACAACTCTTTCACGCTCACAGCAGCTGATGGTAATCCTGTTAGTGCCACAAGACCAGTACTGTTGGGAGCACCTGGTGGTAGTTGGAAGAAGATGTTTATAGTATGCTGCAGCCATCCAGACATGGGACACATTTCATTATAGGTATGTTATGTTCTAGGAGCTACCTAGCAAAAAATAAAAAAATAAACTGCAGCTTTAACTATGATTAGTGGAATATCCGGCAGGACCTTTTTAGACAGGATTTTGTGCAGCTGAAAACCACAGTGAAGGTCATAAAGTAAAAACTGAAGAATCATAGCGAAACAAAATATACATGGTTACTAGCAGTGAACTTTGATCAGGTGCATTAAGGGAAGGGGGTGGAAAGCACTGATATCCCGTAACCACTATAATCAAACAAAAAGCCAAAAAGTGTATTTACAAAGCCTCCTGCATTGTTTACCATTTGATGGTAAAATAGAGTTCTTCTAGGTTTTTGCAGTAGGGGAAAGCAAAGATATATTTGGCAAAGGATTAGCTTTGGGTTTGGGTGAAATATGAGTTTGACCTGAACCCAAGTCATTTGCAGTTTCAATTACCAACAATGTACTTCCGGACCCCTGAACTATGGTTATGTGCCTTAGAAGGGCTAACAAAGGCAGAGTTTTAGCAAGGAGAAATGTTTGCTATTATACTATACAGTGATAAAAAGCATTATATACAGTGAAGAGGCACTATACAGCGTCAATGTGTGTTACAGAATCCTGGAGTAGATAGGTAGAGCCAACAGAGTGTTTTCAGGGAGGGATAGTTGCTGCTATACTATACAGTGTTGTTGAAGAATGTTATATACAGTGCAGTGGTCTTATGCGCAGTCAGTGTATGTGTTAGAGAAACCTGGAGTAGAAAGGGACAGCTGACAGTGTTTGCTTGTAGAGATAGCTGCAGATATAATATACAGTACTGTTGAAAAGTGCTATACCCAGTGCTGTATTGTGCCACATTACAGCGAAGTTCAGTGTGGTGGACTATTGTGTATATTACACTATAACTTAAATGTATTTATTTAATAAAACCTTACTAGTGTTTCCCTCTGAAACTGTGGCCTATAGCTGCTTACATAATGTGCATTGAGTTTAGTAAAATATTTGTTTTTTTTCTGTGAAATAACACTCTAATTGTGATTTCATGATTAAAACGTGTCTAGTCTCTCCCTCTAAAACTGTGGACTAGTAAAAGTGCTTACAGAGCGTGCTTTAAGTTTATACAATATTTCTGGATTTACTCCATGGAATAATACACTTCAATTCTGATTTCATGATTAAAAGCTGCATAGTCTCGCCTTGTGAAGCTGTAGCCTAATAGTGTATTGTGAATAGTCTGTACATTTATAGCTTTTTTTCTGTGAAATTGTATAATATACAGTACTGCTGAAAAGTGCTATACCCAGTGCTGTATTGTGCCACAATACAGTGAAGTGCAGTGTGGTGGACTATTGGGTACGCGCCCCCCCCCCCCCCCCCCCCATCCCCCCCTTCCTGTTCACTGTCCATAGATCTAACTATTTAGATCCAACTATCTTTTAGTGTGTCTGCAGCAACTTCGGTTGCTATTTAGCTGTTGAACCCACCCCTTACAGTTTTTGGTGTTATATTGAGAATTAAGTGTTTTAGGATTGGGGTATAGTGTTTTATTTTTTCAGAGAGATATATATTTTACAGATTTAACATATTTTTTGTAGAGTTTATGTATTTTATTTTGGGGTCATCAGTATGAACTTGTTCCTGACACTGACAAGACTGCACTTTATTTGCAGCACATCACTACATACTTGTGTGTTACAATTTAGTACATCACAACACCACATTATTAAGTGGAACAAAGCATCATGTCTTCAATCCCATTATTGCTGTAGCTGCTAATAAAATTAGGCAATCCCCTGTATTCACAATGTAACGCAGAGATTCTGCATGTGCAACTAATGTACCTAAACCATATGATCACCTTTTCTAAGTGAATACCTCATGGACTCCTTCAAGTCTGGATCAGTGGTCAGAGCTTGCACAGTACATTCTAATTTTTATTTCATACTAAAACCTGCCTGGCCTCTACCTCTGAAATTGAGGACTAGTAAAACTGTTTACATACTGCACATCAAGTCTGTACAATATGTCTAGCTTATTTTCTGTGAAATATTTAAACTATAATTTAAATGTATTTTTTTATAATAAAACCTTACTAGTGTTTCCCTCTGAATATATATCAAATGATGGGCACCCTGAATTGTTTATATAGAATCAGGTCATGCTACAGTGTCACTGCTAATATGCAAGAAAATCTTTCCAATTCAGTAATTGATGCACGCTTCTTAATAAACCAAAATATTAGAGGTAAGCAGTCAGTATTAGAGCTAAGCCCAATTACTTGTCTGCAAATCACTAAGACAAAATAAAAATATGTAAGCTTTTTTTTTTTATATATACCTGAGTATACATGTTTAAGTGACTTTACAATGTAATTAGTACTCTATTAAATTGTGAAAATATTTTGGCTTTAGATTACTTTAAACTGATTTCTGAATAAATCACACACCAGCAGTTTTGGTATAGTTTGGCTTTACTTCTTCCATAAAACAGACAATTTATATGCTGCCAAGGTATTAACCACCTCCCGCCCGCCATATAGTAATATGACGGACGCAAGGTGGTTCTCTCGTTCTGGGAGGACATCATATGACACCCTCCCATTCTAACCACGCATGCACGGAGCGCGCAGTGTGGCGATCGGCGGTGCGCTGTGTCCCTCGGACACAGCGGATCACCGATCCACGGAAAGAGTCAAATATGTCGGCTTGGTCATGTGATCAGCTGTGTCCAATCACAGCTGATCACATGTAAACAGGGAAATGCCGGTTATTGGCATTTCTCTCCCCACGAGCTGTCACGCTGACAGCTCGTGAGGAGAGGAGAGGAGAGCCGGTAATCGGCATTCCTCGGAGGGGACGTGTACACAGATCATCAGAGCACTGACGATCAGTGTGCCCTGATGATCTGTGTAGCCCCAGCAGCGCCACCTGTCAGTGTCCATCACTGCCAGCTCTCAGTGCTCATCCATGCCACCTGCCAGTGCCCATCAGTGCCACATCAGTGCCACATTTCAGTGCCCATCAGTGCCACATCAATGCCACATATCAGTGCCCATCTGAGCTGCCTTTCAGTGTCACCCATCAGTGCCAGTCAGTGCCACCTATCAATGCCAGTCAGTGCCACCTATCAGTGCTGCCAATCAGTGCCACCTATCAGTGCCAGTCAGTGCCGCCTATCAGTGTGCATCAGTGCCGCCTATCGGTGGCCATCAGTGCTGCCTATCAGTGCCGCCTAACAGTGCCAGTCAGTGCCACCTAACAGTGCCAGTCAGTGCCGCCTATCAGTGCCAGTCAGTGCCGCCTATCAGTGCCACCTATCAGTGCCGCCTATCAGTGCCATATATGAGTGCTGCCTTTCAGTGCCCATCAGTGATGCCTATCAATGCCCATCAGTGCCACCTACCAGTGCCTCCTCATCAGTGCCCATCAGTGCCACCTATCAGTGTCCATCAGTGCAGCCTATCATTGCCCATCAGTGCAGCCTCATTAGCGCACATCAGTGAAGGAGAAAAATCAATTATTTACAACATTTTATAACAAAAACTAAGAAAAAACTTTTTTGTTTTCAAAATTTTCAGTGGTTTTTGGTTTGTTTAAGAAAAAATAAAAAACCCAGAGGTGATTAAATACCACCAAAATAAAGCTCTAGCTGTCACAAACAAATTATAAAAATTTCATATGGGTACAATGTTGCATGACCGTGCAATTGTCATTCAAAGTGCAACAGCGCTGAAAGCTGGAAATTGGCCTGGGCAGGAAGGGAGTATAAGTGCCCTGTAGGCAAGGGGTTAATATGTACAGTATGTGTGTTCATATAAAGCAAAATATGTAACCCCAACTTTGGTGTCTGTTTAGGATTGGCACATTATTTACATCCTGCAGCGCTCCCTGTGGTTTGTAAATGGGTGAGCATGTGTTCCAGAGAAAGGGGTTTAAGGAGGGCTAGCCATTATTCACTATGCCTGCTATCCTTTCCTCCTCTACTGGACACTCCAGAACATTATTGATGCTGCAAGGACCATGTCAATACTTTAGCCCATAGAAGCCCTGAAGCTAGGATAAAACTTATGGCTTTCAACATATTTTTTTTTTTGTAATTTGGTGACATAATTTTTGCCTATTGTAGCCATGCAAAAAAAGAACCCTTCTCAAAATATCTGTGCAGCAGAATTAGTTCTGGCATCCCAGAAAAAAATAGAACAACGCTTTTCTGTGCAACCTAGTCTGCTAACAAGTGTGACATTTTTACTTCAATATTTAAGAAGAAAGACTTACTTACACTTTGAAAGGTCCATCACCAGGGTGTGAATCACTGTACCAAGTGCAGCTGGCATAACTAATAAAGTTAATAAAGCACCTGAAATTTTCTGGCATATATCCTGTATGAAATAAAATATGAACAAATGAATGAATAGAGAAAGAGAGAGAAGAGAAAAAGGTAGGAGAGTCTAAGAAAATCTTAAATACACAAATGTAACTGTTTAGCAAACATTATTATGATCAGAGAAAGAGCTGCTTGTTCTGCTCACTGTTAGGGTGTTTTTTCTTTATAAGGGAGCAGGTAAGCACCGTGCATCTGGGGGTCTCAAAATCTTTTGTTTCTCCATTTAATAAGTTAGTCTCCACAGCTTTTAATGTAAGTAGCACCCATTCCTTCTAGAGATTACCTGGTCAACAGTTGGATAAAATCAGCATCATAACAAAATAAAAATAGGGTGAGAGATGCTGAGAGGACTCAATTACCTGCCACTCAGTTACCAAACTTCTATCTTATTCTCTTTCTTTGAAGGCTCGTGATATGTAAATTTTATAGTTTCTAGGCCACTGGATCTAAATAAGACAGTATTGCCTTCCAAAATTGCCTCTGGATCTAAATAAAATATTTACATAATATAGTTGTCAATAAGAAAGGTGAAGTTGGTAGTAAAGGTTATAACTGAGAAAATATTCCCACTAGATTATATACTGTGAACATAATCTTAATTGAATCTTGGTAAACCCAATCTTGATCACTTATCTTTCACAGGAGCCATACTAATGTTCTCTATATCAATCCAATTTTAGTATATATGTCCTACCGAAGCAAGGACTTGATCACTTATCTTTGGTCCTGATTTAAAATTGCAAATCACACGCTGTCAAATAAATTTTTGCTGCCAGTTTTATTTGGTTCATTCATTTCACTATTTACCTTCAGGGCATGCATAAATACCATCATGCAACGTCAGATCTGCTAATATGCTAATCTGCAGACACAGGATCCCAATACAGTTCCTCATTTTTAAAATAAATACTGCAAATACAAAAGTACAAAAAGAACTTGTCAGTTGTTTGCATCACTACATTAAATGGGAAGAAGAAAAAAAATCTCAACTAAATACTATTTACATGTAGCATATCCATATAACATAATCCTAATAAAGAACAACAATCCATTATGTAATAAAACATTTATCTCTGTTAAGTACATGTCAATAAAATTCACTAAAACAGGATCTGTACATGGCCGCTCCATTTCTTGAGAAGGAATAGCCAAGCAGGTGTGAATATGAACATAGTTCAGCTCTAGTGATGTGGTAAAATATACCTCTTTTTGGTTCTGCATAAGCTATGTTGTTACCTTGATACTATGGAGAGGGTGGGCATAACCTTCTCCACTCATCCATAAGTGCCTTAACCACAGCTCTGCTCTCTCCAAGAGTGATACTACCTACTTATAGTCCCTTTTTCTTCTTGATCCCTAACATTAATCTAGGAGGATGGTTTTCAAATGGTAGGTTGGTGCAAAAGTCCTCCTGCTGGTTAACTCCTCCACTGCCAGTTAAAGTAACAAGGACTGGTAGTCCTTTGCCACACGATTGAAATGCAAAATCTTCTTTTGAAATCAGACATCATAAACTAAACAAAGTTTTCCTGTGTTCTTGAACAAATGTCTTTAGGAATTCCACAAAGTTAAGTCCCTAAGGTTTTTCTAACTGTAACTACAAAAGTAAAAGTTCAGGTTTACATTACATTTACGTTTACATTGCATTTACATTATAATAGAATGTTAGCATTACTGGCCTTCTAAAAATGCTGATGACATAAGTTGCTTGGGGTCAATAATTTTGAATCACAAACCTGGATCAAAATAGTGGTAAATGTGCATCAGAGTTGTAATTAATTACTTAACATTATGTCTGTTCTGAGTTATTGATTCAAACTGCTGAAGCCAAAGCAACAGTACGACAGTCAGGGAACTAACATTCTCAAAAAGAGTGGTCAGAAAAGACAGACTCCAAAATTTCTATGTGACAAGTGTACTTTTAGTTACAAAATCATGCCTCTCATTCGGCTTCAAAATGTAAAGCTGCACATTCTAAACATACTACATCTACTTATTTTGAGTATTCAAGTCATGTTAAAACCCAGGGTGAGTCCACTCCTTGGTATTTATTGAGATAATGTTGGGTACTGGTCGTTTTATTAAGTTTAAGAGTGTTTTGTAAAATGCATTATATTCAGAAGTAGAATAATGAGGTCCAACAGGATAGCCCAATGTTACAACTCTAGGCACAGTCTGTGTTCTATAGAAATATATATTCTGATTTTCAAAACACTGAGCAGCTTCCTCTTAGCTAACAGTTTTTCCCTTGTTTAACTCTGACTTGCAAAAACAAGTTAATAGTAAATCTTCCATTGTTTTTTTTCCTAGCCCATCCAGGCTCACCTCCTCCCAAAAGGGCAGCTAAGAAGTGTCTTCCATACATGTTTTCAGGCCTTTGGTGCAATACAGTTGTCAAAAAACACCAAAAAACTTGCAAAGAACTCTCCAGCAGTTTTAGAGATCCTTTATATTTAACACTTTGCCATCCCAACCTATTAGACATAAATACTTTATGACTGGCTGGTTTCCTAGATATTTATATCACATATCACGATAATTTCTGGTCCAGCCTCATAGTAACTGTTAGAAATAATTAACGTTATAAGCTATGGAAAACTCCACCGCTCCAAAATCAGTTGCAAAAGGAGGAAACATAAAAATTTTATCAAGTAGCATTTTATACCTTATATTTTTTGAGTTATGACAGCCACAGAAGCACGTAAAGGCAATATCCTAAGAATCTGTAGAAGTTGGGGTAAATTAACCTGCCCAAATTAAGTTTGATTGAGGACTTCCTGAGCACATGGAAACCAGTAAGGGCAGAACTCTTTGTTTGAACACCACAAAGCTGTGGAAGTGGCATAATTTAGCTATTAAATGTCTTTGGTGTTAAAGTGGAACTTCATTTTCTCAATCAACTTGGACTATTTCTAATCCTTATGCTGCTAGCATTAGTAAATAGATAAAAAAGTATATCATATACACTTGTATTAACCTTTTATTTGTATTCATTCATTTACCTTCTGGTTTCCATGCCTAGGTAAATGATGGTATACATCCCAGGAGTCTTCAGGAGGGGAGGGAGGGTTCTTAGCTCAGCCAATGTCTGAGCTAAGGACAGATGGATTCCAGGAAGTAACTGCTACATGAATCATCTGCCCTTACTCAAGACAGTCACCGCCAGAAATGCCAGGAGGAGTTTTTAAAATGATTTCTCATCAAAATAAAGCATGGAGATATGGATGGGGGTGTTTGATTTGAATATTAAAAATGAATTATATGGCATTTTCTGGTTTTTGGTACTCAGATGCAGTCCAGTTCCACTTTAAGTAGTCAATACATTTTGTGTCCAAATTAGAAACAACTACTTTGACCCATTCCTACACATCAACACACTCTACCATGGGTGCCTTTCTTGTTTGAACAATTGATGGGACCTTTCCTCCTTTATAAACCAACCTAACACCACCCTGATGTCCCCTATGAGGACCTAGGACCAGGTTCCTTGAAGTATCCTTTTTCCTGCATGGAGACACACACTTACTATGAAGATTGCATCTGCCATGTAACTTGGTCATTTGCAGCCTTGTCAAATGTAAATTGGTTGCCTTTCTGGCCTACTCTAACCATATATATTTCCTGCTAATACCATCCATGTACTACACTATAAGGGCTCTCCCGCCTCTCTTATTTTTCTGGTGGAACCCTTGGAGCATTACTTCCTCCTTTCTTTGCACACCTTTGAGGACCACTACCCCACAATCACTGCCCTGAACAGGGGCGGACTGACAACTCATGGGGCCCCCGGGCAATAGGGGATCATGGGGCCCGTGTTCTTGCCCAAGCTCAAAAAAGCCTATGAAAAAGGTACCAGGGGCATCTCATGGGGCCCCCTACTGGCCCTGGGCCCTCGGGCAGTGCCCAAGTTTCCAAATGGTCA